CCCTGAATTTATTGTATCTGAATCCTATATGAGAAGATTTATTGGAATATTGTTGCTTATAGGATATCATTCTTTACCTCAAGAAAAAATGTATTGGTCTTTTGATAAGAACATTTCTGTTCCTGTTGTACGAGAATTGATATCACATTCGCAGTACAGAAATATGAAGCAGAATTTGCATTTGACAATACTGATAAATTATATGAGGTGAGACCGTATCTAAACTTGCTAAATATTACCACTTTTTACTACTGGAAATATAAAGTCTCTTTTAGATTTCAGATGCGAGATTATTCCTTTTGTAAACTCCTATTGAGAGTGTAAAATTAGCCAGAAATAGATCAGCAACAGGAAGGCCTAGTAAATTCAGCATTCAAAAACAATTGCATGGAGATGGTAGACATTTTATCGTAAAGTCTGTTGATAACAAAAGACTTTGTTGTAAAGAGTACCATAGCCAGACTGTTTATAGATGCAAAGTATGTAATGTAGCTTTACATCATGATTGTAATCAAGCTTTTCATCCTTGAATCTTTCAATTGAAATAATCTGTATTTATAAAAGAAATATAATGTATATTTTAATATTAAATTAATTACAAGTAAAGTGATTCGTAGATTTATAAAACGTTATACAGCTAAAAAGTAATCCTGCGCTCCACTCAAAAGAAACATCATACGAGTACAATCCTACTCACTAAACATCCGTAGTCTTATTCCGCTGATGTTGCGCGAGCACAACACTCATTTTTTCCACGGGTAAGAGCTTTTTTATTATTATTATTTATTTTCAATGTAAATTTATGTTATAAATGCTTAATTTAATGTTCAATTATTTTTATGAGAAAAGAATCCTTCCTTGTAATTTTGGCAGTTAATGAGTTAAATAATAAACAAGTTTCAGGTGCATCATTAAGTAAATGCCATTTACTGATTGCAGTTTAATTAAGAAAGTAGCACCTCTGAAAAGCTTTTTAGCATTTTTAATTTTAATAATAAAAGACCTTCAAATTAGCAATTCACAAATATCTAAAATTCAATAACATGATTAATTTACCTCTCAGCACAGCCAACATGTACTACGCGGATAGACTGGTATATTGCAAAAGTGAGGTTCAGGCATAGATCATTACTTAATTTATTCAATCCCATTTACTGATAAGTTCTTAATTTCCATGTGCAGAATTATCTGTAGGCCCTGATTATGTACTTACTTGGTTTTAAAGGAATATCTAGATGGTCACAAAGTTACAAATATCCTAGCAAAACAAGTTAGAAAATTGATGAATTGCTTGAAATCATTCTTAAGAAACTGTCCATGTTACTTTCAAATACTTGAAAATCATGAAAATGGTTCAGACAACAAAATAGTGATTGAAGCGATGAATAATAACTTAGTTATTAAAAAATTAAAACACTTATTGCTGTTGTTAAAACTTATTATTGTTACACTGGGTCAGATATAAAAATATGCTTATTCTGTCTAAGTTGCAATTTCATTAATACTAGTGGCTGATTATATTCTTAAGAAAATAAGTTTAAAATACAGTGAAACTGTAAGCCAACCAGTCATAGTTACAGACAGCGTCGGTCTTCAGAAACAAATATAAATAAAACTTTACTTGTTCTTATTTTGCTTGATGATTTCAAAAAATAGGTAAAAGTTCTAGCTCTGGCTTTGGTTGTAATTGGCATTTTTGGGGGTCCACAACTCAAAAAATTTAAAGATCACTGATCTAAGCAATAATTGCAATTTCCCTGCTAATATCAACAATAATTTTGGAGGATAATTGGCTGATATATACTCGTGTTCAAATTTATTCTTTATGTACACAAAAATAATTATGTTCAATGAAATATCCAATTGATGTAATCTATTTTTGCAGGGAATGTGTGAGCGACAAACCTAACTAGCATTATCCAATCAAAAACAATCAAACAATTTCTGCTATGTAAGTCAAAGTGGAAGGTCATTTGAGCACTTTATACAAAATGAACATGTGAGTGAATTTCTGTAGTGCAAGTTTTAATTTTAGTGTATAAGGACTGAAAATGTTTGTTATGGCCCTGAAATATCATTTGGAAGAAACTGTGAAATCACAAATCATCGACTGTTTAGAAGCAAGGCAGACAATCATTAAGATGTGTGAATATTTCAACACAAACTGTCTCTACGCTATGTAAAAAATTTCAAAACATTGGAAATGTTGTGAGGAGGTCTGGACATTGTCATAAATGAATAGCTACTGTTTCTCAAGATCAATATCTGACAATAACTAACTGTCATAATAAGAAGGCTGCTGCTTGGCTGTTAAGTTCAAAGTTTCTAGCCACCACTGGAATTGTATTATTTCAAATTGTATACTGAAGGCATTGTGAAAAAGCCTTTATATGCCAGAAAGCCATGGATATGTGTTTCACTGTCTTATATGAATACAAAACAAACAGCAAAATAGGGATAGCTTTAACTGGTACAAAGAACATTAGAACTAGAGGGAATACCAATAGTCCTGTATTCTGTTTACTGATGAATTGAAATTTAGTGTAAAATCTGATTATTTGGGAGGGGGAGTCCGAAACTTAAAATTTTTCTTCCAGCCTTATGAAACATGACCATTTTGATAATGCTGGTGCAATGGAAGAGGGAGGATAGTGACTGATGGGCATACTTCCCTACACATTTTCAATAACAGATCTGTGATCGGCCAGAAATATTGGGAAAAGGCATTAAGAACTTTAGGTAAGACTTTTCAGAGTTGCATATGGGTCTGACTTTTTGTTTTTTGGACAATAATGCTCAAATAATGAACAAACCTCTTGGTGAATTTCTTGAAAGGAAATGCTATTGCTAGCAAAATCCTCTGATCTTACTCAATAGAGAAGTTATGAGACTACTTTGAAAAAGCAGTTGCACAGAGGCATCCTCCTCCTGCCGATGAAAATATCCTGAAGGCTGTGTTACTGGAGCAATAGAGCTTAATTCCCCAAACTCACGTTGATAACACTGTTGTTGCTATCATGGAAACATGTGATATGTGGACAAGTCAGAAAATTCACATTCCATACTAAAGTTAAGTCTCTCCCCCCAAAAAACTCTTATATAACATATTATTTATATTTTTATTGTTTCTTTCTATGGTTTTATATTATATGATATGCAGTGGTCTTAAATTTTTCCCTTGGTATTTATGTTTTATGGTGTTATATATCATTCCACCCCATGAAATGTTAGTGTAGCTTTTGAGAAATCTGGGATTTCATGCATATAAAGATAATTTTCAGCATGAGTGTATTATATACATATCAGGAGGAAAGAAAGTGCTTGGATTCTTAGTGCAAACTTTTGTTAAAATGCTGAATTATTTTCTTTTTTCAGTATTAATAGTTTTTTGTTTACATTACGAAATGCTAACAGAAGCAAATAACTGATGTCATCTGTCCTGAACTAAATTTCAATGCAGATTTAAAAGAACTCAGATATAATAAAACCTATTATGGGATGTAAAATAATTAAATTTTATGCAAAGTATACTTAAATAAAAGAATATAACTTTTTTTTAAATTTTTATCTATGAATTTAATTTCAAATTGTACTAAACTAAATTAAGCATATGAAAATATATAAAATAAGTAAATAAATAAAAAAAGTTGATAATCTTGTACGATTTTCTTCGCATTCTTTTCTCATGTTATGTAATAATTAAATATATATAATACTGTAGAGTACAGCTCAAAATTCATGGAAAACCATCTGAAACAACATGGTAACAAGTGATCTGCATCTCACTTATTGAATATTAGGAGCTTACGCTTGTTGAGAATTCATACGAGTCTAAATGGAGTTACTTTCAATCAGATCAGAAGCAATGTAAATATAGGGTTTGTTCAACAAAAAGAAAGTGTTTTTAATTTGTTCACAGTTTTGACACATCTACTTAACAGTTTTTAAAATATCTGCATCAACACAGCATTTCTAGCACTGAAGGCTCCCTGGAACTTAGAATCCTCATTACAGCCTCTTGAATGGCCTGGACCGAGCTGTGGTGCCGTCCTTTCATGACATTTTTTAGTCAAGGGAAGAAGAAAAGTCTGAAGCAGTGACATCTGGGCTGTACATGTACTTGAAAGACTCGGAAAACGAGTCGCTGGTTCATGGAGGCATGGCAGTGCACCGAGCCTTTGCTGTCATGGAATTCCTGACCAAACATGGCATCAGACAGCTTTCCCAGCTATCCTTATAGCCCAGATGTCACTTCTTCCTCTTCCCTGACTAAAAAGGGCCATGAAAAGACGGCACCATGGTTCAGTCCAGGCCATTCAAATGGCTATAGCGAGGGAGCTGTAGAGCATTCCAAGGTCACTGGAAATGCTATGCTGATGCAGAAGAGGAATATTTTAAAAACTATTTGGTTGATGTGTCAAAATTGTGAATCATTTAAAAAAAAAAAAATTCAGTCATAATACTTTCCAGACAAGCCCTGTATGTTTACTCTACTTGGGCTGTTGAGAATCGAGGGTAAATAAGCCTTATCTGGGTTATTGGTGTTACCTATATGCACATAATACGGAAAAAACAACCAGCAGGACTATGGTAGTAAAGCACAGTTCCCTAGAATGCAATACCTCAAAATGCCATTCTTCAAGTCTTTTTGACAAATGTTAGTTGTGGTTATTGCTCATTAGGACATATTTGGTGCCGAACATTATATGTTCCTGCTGTTCAATGTCCTGATATTTTAATGATTTCATTTTTATTTTATCACGTAAAACAAACTTAGTGTGGGTTTTTTTTTTTTTTTTAATATATATATATATATATATATAATTCTTTTGTCATTGTTGATATTACAATTTCAATGGGAAACAATGTTATAACAAAATTTAATGAGAACAACTTTATTATTAATTTTCTATTTTATATTTGTTGTAATCAACAGGTACTTCTTCATATTAAAGGTTGTGTAAGTTACATATATTTTTAACATAATATTTCTTTTGCAGATCGTAAATGAGTGGGATTTAGCAGAAAGATATAGCTCAGAGTTTGTCTGTGAGACATGTCAGTCAGCTGGAGTTTTACCTTCAAGGACAATGAAAACTTTTAATTTTTTATATGCAAATTAATAGTAAAATTTCATGAATTTTTTTGTCTGCATTTTAATAAAGTTTTTATATTAAAAGAAAATGTTTTGTATTCATTTTGAACTTGCTAGTAAAATTTCATAAAAGTACATACTCTTAATATCAGAGAATGAAACTTTGTAAGCAAAAAAATTTACCAAGTGAAAACTTCAAGTCCAGGAAGAAGTTTTGATTATCTTTTGAGTTCATTTTGGAACTTATTACAGAACTGGACTTCTTAGAGAAAAGATTTCTTATTCCAGTGTTACTCTGCAAGTATTTAATTGAAGTTTGTATCAATATAATGAAAACTAAAAATAAAAGAAATGTTGCTTTCTTGTTATATAGTTGATTTTATTTAAATATTTATCATAGTAATATCTCCTGATATTACTGATCTTTTAAAATTTTATTTTTGGTAGTTCATGTGATATATGCATAGTTTTCATGTAATAATGCATATGATACACTTGTTTTAATGGCAGTTTCCTTAATTTATGCTTACTTAACTCTGCATTTACTACTAATTTGTTTTGATAGTTTATTAAAGGGAAAACCAGAATTAGTGGTCTATTCAAATTTTTCTGTGTTGTATTTAAAGCAGAACTTGTATATAATATTAGCACTTGACATTTCCATATATGACGATAGGTGTCAGAATCTTCTGTATATATACAGATTCTTTTTCAGATCAACTGCACATATACTGTCACAAATCAAATACGAGGGGTGTTTTTTAAGTAAGAGCCATTTGAAAATAAAAACCAAATTTATTTTTAGATTATACATATGTTTCTCTATTTTTCAACATAGTTGCCAAGTTTGTTTAAACACTTATCTTACTTTAAAATTAGATTTTGAATACCCTCTTCATAGAAACTTGCCACCTGCTTTCACAACCAAGAGGTCATGACCATTTTTACATCCTAGAAACTAAACACTTCAGGAAATTTGTTTGAAAGAGTGCTTATGGTGAAGCGTCTGTTCTCAAGAATTTTTGCTTCAACTGAAGCCACCATATCATTTGTGGTCAACTTTAAAGTTTCTGACCCACTTACACAGTTTTCCCTTACTCGGCAGTAGCTTCATAAACTTCAAAAATCTGCCAGTAAATGTCTGCAGTAGACAAGTTTCTTGCCGTCAAAAAACGTATTACTGATCGTATCTTGCACGGGGCGGGCGATATAATAATCTTGAACATTTTAAAGACACAGAACAGACCGTACAAGTTACTTACACATCTACAACTCAGCACAGATGTTTCCAAGGAATGCCGGGACACAATGCAAGCACTCGTTGCAGCCCGTGCGACACGTATTAGTGTATACAACAAAACGGCCCTTACTTTAAAAACATGTTACGTATATTTACAAGCATTTTACTGGGAACTGAATTAAAATTATAACATTACAGAAAGCATATTAGAATTAGCATCACTGATCATTATTGCATCTGTATTCATTTCATAAATTTGTTACAAAAACAAAAATTCTTTGTATTGTGCATTTCATAGAAAATGGTATATGAAAGTTATTTTATATCATTTTTGCTGTGTGCTTGTACTAGATTGCAGTACTGATCCTTCGATCCTTCTTACATCATATATATGTAGATAAAACTTAGTTTATATTCGAAAAATGATAGAGGTATTTTAATTCTAATTAGTAAGGTGGCCAACATTTTGCAATGAAAGGAGGACTAAAAAAATTTAAGAAAAGTACAACATAAATAAGTGAAACAAAAATACACTAATTATGCTTACATCCCTTTCAATTATTTGATTAAATGAGTATTTTTCCATTGAATGAATATTTTTGTCACTATATCATTTTCTAATAATATATTGGAAATATCTTTCATATTGAATTTTATGTCAGGTGCTGCAGCTAGAGTATCAGCATTCAATCTTGTGTCACTTGTCCAAAAATCATTAACAATTGAAAAAACTCTCAACTGCTGCATTAGTTCCAGTGCAGCACAATGTAAATTCATCAAGAAAAATTAAACTTTTGTATGGAATATGTTCATTTTTGGAAATGGTTAAATATTTCCACCCATCTTATCAATTTCAACCTGTTGATTTTCCCATTGTTCTAATTTATAATTTAAATATACATTCAGTCTTCTAATTTCTTCAAACATGATTTTAATATCAGGAATATCTTTCAATAAAAACTCAACATAAGTTTCAACATCTCCTAGTGATGAAGTCAAAAAAACACCATTGAAAACTGTTATTTCCTACGATACTCCTTTCAGACCATTCTTCGACCTATTGGAAACATGTTTGGCAAAAATTCTATGGTTTGGTAAACTTTTCCATTATGCCCATATTTGATTCCAATAAGTTTGACAATTTTCTTTTTCTTCTCTCTCTCTCTCTCCCCCCCCCCTCTTTTTTTTTTTTTTTTTTTTTTTTTTTGAAGGAATATATTTTTCTTCAAATCATGATTTATATTGAAGGACAAAATACAATAGCTCCAATAATTCATAATTAGAAAAAGATTCCAGGATTTTTAAGGCTTTTGTCTAAACTTGAAAAATATTAATGGAGAGATGCAAATAATTGTAAAACACAATTTATAGCAGGTGTTAGAGCGAGCCATCCAACTTTTGAATGTCCAAAAAGTGTTTTTGTATTCAACATTTGCATCTTCACAAAATTGTTACAAAGTAACCACACAAACAGTAAAATGACTAAAATTCAAATAAATTGTCATTATTACTTCTGCATCGATTGTCATGGCAGATGATGCTGTTTTGATTGCATCTGACAAAATATGTGCATTACAACATATTTCTAATATTTTTTGGTATAAATCTTGTAATTTTACATAGTCATTATTCACTCCTTTGCATCTTCGTCCACCAAAATTTGTTTGTATTATCAGCTCTTAGTATAACAACTTTAGATTTTAAATTGTTTTCATTTATTACTCTGTATAGATGTTTTGATAAAACTTCAGCAGTTTAACCTTTAGTGGATTCCAAATTAAAATTTTTACTTGAATGGCCCTAGTAATGTTATAAACCCTTAACAGCATTCAATACGATTTAATTTCATTAGGATTTGATGCATCAGATAAATATATTACAAATGCTACATTTTTAAGGTCTTCTGCAAGTATTTTATCACAGTAATTTTTAAATACTGATTTAATTATAGACTCACATTTTGTCCTGGAACATGAGAATTTATCTTTGTGAAACATTTTCAATAATTTAGTTGTACAATCCATACTACAAAAACTTTGATTGTTATATGGTATGAAATGCAAATGTGCCCTCCATTACAGCTAACTTTTTTCTTCAGAATAATCAGAAGGTTTAACAAATTTATTTCTCTACTGGAAGCTAATGCATCTAAGGATGCGTATGTTTGTTGGTGTTCAAGTGTTTCATTGCAACTGCTTTGCCTTCAACTGCAGTACAAAAATTCTCCTCAGCAAATATTGCAGAAAACATAATATAGACATAAAGAAAGCAAAGTGAAGTGCGCAAAGGTGCAAGGCATATGAAGTTCTGTGCCCTGCACATGTGTTTCATAATCGCATCTTTCCGAACTGTACTGTCACATGATGCATAACAGTTCAAAGTTTGACGCGGCATCTCTGAATAGAGAGCTTAACAGATTTGTTTTAAAACGTCGAAAAAGAGGACACTTTCCGAAGAAAGGCAGAACTTGCAAAAGAAAGAGGACGATTGGTCTCCTTAATAATTAGTAGTCTTATCTTATTAACTAAAAATTAAATAAACATTGGTACCCGCGTTAATGAGATTGACCCTGATGATTCTTTCTTTGGATGTATGCTGCTAAAAAGCACCATAATCATAGTGCTTTAAATCTGTTTTATTTAGGGTTATTACTAATTTTAATTTCTCTTAAGAAAATAGGATTTTAAAAAGCATAAAATATCCACTGAACGGTGGCTGAGTCTTGTTATTATTTTGGGCACAATATTTGCCTGAAATATAAAATACTCATTCACTAGCTGCTGCTTATTAGTTAGTATGGTGCAGCTTTCTCAGTAACCAGAATAGCTGATAAAGAAAATTTTGCGAGGCACACTAATTTAAATACTTACTTAAATCTACAAAATTTTAAAAACATTACTTAACTTTTTTGCCTCGCAGCAAACGTAATTTTTAATGATAACAAAATCTTACTCCGTATGCTGAGATAATTAAGTCAAGGAAAATAAATTTTTAAAACTTTAATACCGATAACTTTCATCATAACAACCTCTCGCATCCAATAGAAAAAGAACACTGTAACGTGAGGCGATTATCGAAAGAATATTTTTTAAGTCCCCATCACATATGCTTCCGTTATGCAGGATTGACATCAATAGAGACATTTCTCGGAACCCGCACATTTCCACGAAACCTACGTAGCTAGGTTATCACATCTAGCGACGATTCCCACTAGACGGGACTTTTCTGAAAAATGAGATTCTAGTAGCATTGGTTTAAATATGAGAATTCCTAGAAAAAACAGCTATGCGGGATATTTGGAAGCTTCATTGAAAATGTTCAATCTGCAGCAGATCAACCAAACGAAAGTTCTGTTTCTGAAGGATCACGCGATCCCAATCTGAGTGATAATCGATTACTGTTTAATGTTCAAGTCTATTTAGTAAGTGAAAGTGGTAACCTAGCTACGTAGGTTTCGTGGAAATGTCCCTTTCAACATCCAGTCCCGCATAGCAGAAGCATATGTGATAGGGACTTAACAAAACAGACTTGACCGTCAAATAATCAATTATCGCTGAAACTGGGATCGCATGATCCTTCAGAAGCAGGACTTTAGTCTGACTGGTTGATCTCTACCCGGGACAGAGTTGCAGACAGAACATTTTCGGCGAAGCTTCAAAATATCCCGCGTAGTCTGGACATCCTTTTCATAGCTAGGTGGGATTTCGCTTCCAGGGGAGCTATTTTTTTTTTTTTTTTTTTTCCTAGGAGTCCTCCGGTTTAAACATGCTACCAGAATCTCGTTTCTCAGTCCCGTCTAGTGGGGACAGTCGCAAGATGTGATAACCCCTTAAAACACTGTTGGGGGAT